TCTCAATAGGAAGTAGAGGAGGCTGAGACCAGAGGCACCGAGACTGCCGCGTGGAGGCCCCGGGACAGAGCAAAGGAGCCAGAGGCTGAAGCCAGAAGACGGTGATACTGAGCAGAGGAGTAGGGCTGAGACACATGAGACTGTGAGGCAGAGCCGCAGGCTGGCAGCCTGGCTCACGGAGACGGAGACCAGAGGACCACAGGCGGACAGACTGAGGACGGGAGAGGGATCTGGCTGCCGGCCGAGGAGAGATGTTGTTGTGACCAAGGAGGTGCTGTGACCAATACCTGTATCCTGGCCGTTTCCTCATCCTGGTTCGTGGCAAGCGGCTCACTTCCCTAATAATAAAAAAAATCACTGCCATCGAGTTGATTCCGACTCTCAGCAACCCTACAGGACAGGGTAGAACTGCCTCCTGTGGGTTTCTGACTCTGTCACTCCTCCCACCACAGAAGAAAGCCTCGTCTTCCTCTTGAGGAGCGGCTGCTGGCTTCGAACTGCTGGCCATGCGGTTAGCAGTCCAATGCGTGGCGACACTATGCTACCAGGGCTCCGGCAACTTCCCTCACAAACTCCTGTAATGGAGAGCAGTGTGTGTGGCGGCTGTGTGCCACACTGCTATACACCATCAAACCCAGCAGAGGAGCAGGGTGCCATGGGAGGAACCGTTCGTGCTGGGATTGGGTAAAGAACGATGGAGCTTGGGAACCTGTCTGACCCCTGCCCCGTGACAACAGGGAAACCAGAAGAGAGCCGTGTGCCCCCACCCCCATGCCATTTAACTCAGGGTATGGTATCTGGCTGATGATGATCTGGGCCTTCGAGGTTGTTGTTTTGTTCGTTGCTGCTGTGTTGGCCCTAGAAACTCATGGCCTGGTCACGCCCATTAGACCCGGTGCCCTCCAGGCCCGCACCACCCCTGTGCCTGGCTCTGATCAGACCCTGGAGATCCACCGCATTTTCACTGTTTACAAGTAGATCACTGTGGGATGCAAAAGGGTTTTCCCCCAGGTTGTCTCCCCCAAATATGTGCCAAAGCTGGGACGCTGCTTGCAACACACAGTAAGTGATGAGACACTTACCTCCCTGAGGGCATCAGCCATCTACAGCAATCAGACCCTATTATCTGCCCCACCTTAGGTGGGGCCCCCTCCCTGCTGATAAGGACAGTGGGTTGTTTCCTGAAGGAGAGCCCAGAGACAAGGTCAGCCAGCTCAAGGACGACCAAGGTTAGGCTGCGTCTTGAATCTAGGATCTGCCCTTCTTGTCATCTGTGTACCCCCTAGTGCCTCCCCTTCCTGTCACACGTATGCTTATTGGACAGCCCCTTCCTATTACATATGTTGTTACCTGTAATGGGGGGGGGCTGTACGCCCCCTAAGTATAGATAAGCCTTGGCTAGCAATATATTCTCTCTCTGCTCGGACCTGGCTGTTGGTTGTGCCCGACGTGAGCATGCTACCTTCAAATGTGTCTGACTCATTTATTGTCCTCTCTGTCCTTCCTTCTGTGACCGCCCTACAGCCTCTTTGTGTGATCGCCACACAACTGCGCTTATGGACCCCGGGTCATCAGGCTGGTTTACTCTGACAGATCACCAGGCCTTGCTCCCTAGTCTCTCGCAGTCTGGCGCTCCGAGGAAGACTTATCTACCTCATAGCAACATGCATATGTAAAAAGTCATTAAGCTGTCCACTTACGTTTGATACACTTTATCAAATGTATATAATATTGCCTCCCTCCCCAAAAATGGATTTAGTGGGGTGGGGGGGTGGGAAGAAAGTGGATTTAGTGTTAAAGTCTGAATTTACAGCATAAACTTGGCAGGAACAAGGAAAAGGCCAGAACTCCTGCCGTTCCGGACTGGCAGGTGCCCCCTTTAGACGGGGAAACCCAAACAAGCAAGCAAAGACCCTCATTGCCATCCAGTTGATTCTGACCCTTAGTGACCAGTGGACCGTCCCCAGGAGATTGCCAGGGGGGTCAATCAAAGGAGCCCCGTGGTGCAGCCGTTAGACATTGGGCTGCGATCTTCATGGTCGCCTGTTCGAAACCACCAGCCCCTCACCGGGAGAAAGACTGGGCTTTCTACTCCTTAGACAGTGACGGTCTTGGAACCCCTCCGAGGGCCTCCGGGGGTCAGCGTGGACTGGATGGCGTTGAGTTTGGTGGAGTTCAAATCTTCACAGCTAGCCACCGATTGCTTCATGTCTGCTGCCGCAGGGGCTCCTTAGGTAGGGAGGGGCTCTCACTCATCAGAGCCTCCAGCTTCCTGCCTTTCGCCCTCCCCCACCCCACCCGGAGCGGTTCCCTGCTGTCCAGAGCCAGCGGCTGTCCGATGAGTCCTTTTGGGCCGGAAGAATGTCTGTGCGGTCTGGGGGTGTGGGGGTGTGTGTGAGTGCTGCAGCAGGTAAAGGCCAGCCCCTGGCCTTCCCCCCAGCAGAGCCTCCAGGCTGGGGACAGCTGAGCTGAGGTGGACCCTGAGCCCAGAGCCAGCACCTCCCTCCTGCAGATGTTTGCTCAGGCAGCAGTGCCATCTGTGGCA